TAAGTGATAGAGCTAGAAAACTGACTAGTCAGAGCGAGAACCTAAACAAGGAATTGAAACACATGAAAGAAGCTTTTATAGTTAATAATTATCCTGCACAGTTTATTAGGAAATTCTTACGAACACACACGAGAAAGGAGTAATTAACAGCCACACTAGTGTGACTAATAACGACAACATGAGTGAAGATGAGTTCACAGCCTCTATTGTGTTACCTACCCTATAAGGAGTGTACGTCAGAAACTTTATGTAGAATCCTCAACATAGCTGGAATTAGAGTGGCATTTAAACCTACAAGCTCACTCAGAGATAAACTTTGTTGGTTGACTTAAGGATCCGATAGAACCAATTAAGCGAAATAATCTAATCGATCAAATTCGATGTAATGACTGTGAGGTGAAGTAATATAAGTCAAACAAGTAGGTTCGGGGTAGGGTGGGGTGGGTTTTGGGGTCAGTTAGAATAACAGAACATAGGAATATACCTAAATATAGAATAACAGACCTAAATAAGATCAATAATCTAGAAAAACTCGCCTAGTGCAATGCATGTATTAACACACAACCAGAGAATATGGTGGGTTGGATAAAGCCAGTGTACTTAAGTTGAATACAATTAGATGGAGAGAGAGGTTGATTACTGAGTCGAATCAACACCCAACACATGTGAAACAGAAATGACGCAACACCTACACCAGAGATATGGAAAATTTTGCTACCAATGAAAGCAACTCGTATAAGGTGACATAACTATAGAAATCAGATGTCGAATATAGTGTGATTACATTGGTATGATTATGAGTAATGATAACTGATACTCGAAACGTTGTCATGAAGTAAATAATACTAGATCACTGGGTGTTATAAATCAAATAAACAAATTTTAAGGGGGCTAACAGAAGTTGGAAATATGGACCTTTGGATTCTGACCCAGTGGCTAGCTCAGTGGTAAGGTGCTGGCCAGGGAATCTGAAGGTCGCGGGTTCGATCGCTGGTGGTGCAGGGTCATGGGTGCTCGCTGATGAGGAGTCCCATAGTAGGAGGGAACAGTTGTCCAGTGCTTCCAGGTAGGTTTCCTTTATTCCTTCAACTGATATCAGTCTACGGTGAATAACAACTTGAAATACTGGATTGGAAAAATAATTGAACGAACTACGCAATTCTATTGTCGATGTTTTATGAACTGTTATCTTACCTAATAGAGTCATTACTTTTAGGAATATTAGAAATCTGGAGTACATTTAAGTGTACCTCAAATCTACCTAAAAGTAGTGTAGTTTTAGGTGTACAAAAAAGTAAAATAGTATGCAATATCAATGGCTTCAATCTGACAAAATATGTTTCCTTGTGAATAAATTCTGCTTTCTAGAAAAAGTTGGTTAGAGGCAATCAGCAGGAAGCCCTGCTCAACATAGGTTTCATGCTTTCTGGCACTCGTCAGCAAGGCGTATCTGCAACTTCGACGGAACTCATGTCCCACCTGACATTCAAACCTGCGTCACCCAGTCTTGTAGTCATCGACTTTATCATTGAGCTATTTGGGCCGTGAATCACCTCCTGTAGGACTGGTTCACATGTATTGATTGTTCAGGGAGTGCAACCAATTTCATGTTGTCTAGTCCTGAGTGCAGACCGAATTCTATCAATCATATTTGCAACGTGGCAACCAAGCTAGGAAGCTCAGCATTGCAGTGCACATTAGTAGATGTTAGTTGGTTGGAGGTAATCGGCAGAAAGCCCTGCTTGACCTAGGTTTCATGCTTTTGGAAATTCGTCAGAAAGGTGTATCTGCAAGCTCGACGAAACTGACGTTCCGTCTGAGATTCGAATTGATTCGACAGAATTCGGTCTGCAGTCAGGGCTAGATAACATGAAATTGGTTTCACTCCCCTGAACAATCAATACAAAGAGTACTATACTCAAGAGGTAAGACTCAACAGGTTGATAGATAACTTAAATGAACCAATGAAATACACAACTGATAAGAATATATATATTTGGAAACCACTCACGCTTACCAATAGAATTCATTAGGCCTTTGGAACATTCTGACTTTGTGAACTGGCTTTTTTTCGGTACACTATGATGAACTTGACTACAAATGAATGAAACGCCTAACAGGTGTTTAGATCATTTTCACCTGGCTGGTGACATCTAAGAAACAGTTTGAGGACTTTCTTACTACTCACGTTAAGTAGAAACATATTTAGTTAGTTATATCAAAGATCACATGTTATGATCTTAATTAAAGGGGTAGTTTTGAACAGAATGCATGTTGATGCCATAGTTAGGCAGTTGAAGAACTAATAACTAAAAACTATACCCGTCGGACAAGAAGCGGCTATCGTGGCTTGGTGGTGTAGTGGATAACGCGCTGGCGTTTGAAGCGATCGCTCCTGAGTCCGAATCCCTGTGGGAACAACATCACTCACTGGGAGCCAGGAGGTACATCCAGCTGACGACTCCCAAATTGTGAAAAACGCGCATCCTGGATTCTACTGCTAGCCACAATCCATTATTAACGTAATTAGAACACAGGCAATATCAAGACATCCTCACAGGAGCTTATATGCCAATAGAGACCGATCAATTCGATCCAATCAACGACGGTATCATATAAAAACCAATTATACTAAAATATACTTCGCTAAGTTAACTAACAAGATTGAATTGTACATTGAAAATCTGAAACCGTTATGTTTATAAAAATTCATAAAGATCTTTATCCTTGCAGTATATAAATGCACATCAAATTTGTACGTAATCTCGAAATATTTAAAAAAAAATGTGTATTGCAGTACTTGTATCTTGAAAATCATTCACAAAACTGAATTAATCTTATTTTTTTCAAATGATATCATCTACTAACTAAATATCTAAACAAAATTACTATACACCTATGAAACGTGATCTGAGTAGCCTAATGATAACCTCTCTGACTGGCGGTGAAATCAGGTCCCTTAAAGTTATACAAAAACTTTCTTGACAAACATCAATTCAGAGTAGTCATTGCCATTTGCCTCCAATCATGTAGTAACAATAAATCTCTACAAAAATAAAAATACCTGTGAAAACTAGTGATTTCGATTCACTAAGGTGAGAAGCTATTGAATAAAACCTGTCTTCTTCTTCTTCTGCTCAAGGAAAATGCTATTGGATCTGAAAATGACGAAACCTTGATTAACATCTATGTTATGCTCTGTGTCGACTAGATGAGCTAAGACTGAACTTTCCACCACTTTCATTTCGTTCTTTCCTAATCAAACTGCAAATATTGTGCCCAATGGAGATCCCAACTGAGTAGGAAGAAAATGAGATACTAAGTTTTCGACCTAATGACTCGATAACGAATCAAGTATATATTATTTATTATATTATTTGTCCCTTGGGTTCCTAGTGGAACATACGGCTTGAGTAGCACGTCGCCATTGCACTCGGTCCTCTGCAATCTTTTGAACCTGGCTCCACCACTGCCCACAGGCTTTCGTTTCTTTCTCATGCGATCTCCTTCACGTCACCCTCACCTCGGATACCCAGCTTGTCGTTTCCCTTGCAAGTTCCACTCGAGGGCATGGATGTGATGTCCCCGAATGCTTTTCTCGGTGTATGCCCAGTCTATCTGCACTTCCTTCTCCTGCATATTCGTTGAGCGTTGGGTTCTTGGTTGGTTCTCTACCAGCCAGCCAGCCAGCCAGCCAGAATTCCTTGTTGCTTATATTTTTTGATCAGCCATCTGATCTTAAGTATCGAGTGAGCGTAGGCAGCAGCCGTTGATGTATGTTTGTTGAAAATGCTTTTTGTAACGAGCCAAGTCTCTCAACTATCATATAGAAGCATTGACTTCCTATTGGTGTTGAAAATCCGGATGTTGTTGACGTTTTATGCTGAATTCAATGCAGTAGATCTCCACACTGATTTCAGGTTAATGTAGGAAGGCCTGTAATGCTGTCTTTCCTGTCCTGACTGCTTTAAAATCCTCATCTGTGCCCGTGCCACTGCCTGTAGTTGAGACGATGCTGCCTTGCCTAAGTAGGTGTACGTCTGAGAGACTACTCCGTTTAGGTTTCTCCCATTGATGGTGATTGGTGCCTCTAGTTGCTGATGCTGTTATTGGTTGGGTATCTTCATCACCTCCTTCTTGTCTACGTTCACCTGCAGGAGGTCTCGTCTTCGCTGCCCTGCCTCTTCTGTCAACTTGTTAGTTTTCGCCTGTAGATCTTCCAGTTAGTGTGACATTAGATACAAGTCATCGGCGAAATCCAAATCTTGTGGGGTCTTTTCATCAGTCAAGTAGAGTATGCCCATCTTCTCCCTCCTCACTGTTTGCTGCATGATCCAGTCCAGTCTAGTCGACCACAATCAGGAAGATCATGGGTGATAGTAGACAGCCTTGTCTTACTCCTTCCTATCGTCACTTCAAAGCCGTCACTAAGCTTTCCACTGTGAATCAATTTTCATCTAACTGTAAGGGGTTTGTTTCAAGAAGCGAAGGACTGTGAAATATCATTCTCATAACTATTCACTTTATTCTCAATTTAACTATAAAACATTATGCAACTTTAGATTTTGTTTAGATTTCACTAAATAACAGAATAATTTCAATGTTCAGAAATATTTGTCAAGAATGAGTGAAAATCTAGGTAGCGAAGTACTTCAATGAATCTCATCAATTTAGTAACATTTTGAAGTAGACTATGAATTTCATTGACTAACTAACCAGGGTCAAATTTTATTTCTATTGACAAAAGTCGTATGTTGGATACATTTTCTTGGATTATCACAATGCCTGACTAGGCAGTTACAAAGAATATCATAGGGACTGAAATAAAACCATTGAACAGTTTGCCCTTTCGGTAAACTTTAAAATTATCATTATTATAAAATTGCTAAGTATTTTAGAAAAGTATATGTGAATACATCTATATGCTAAAAAATGTAATAATTTATATTCACAGGAAGATGTAAGTGATTTGTATGATAAAAAAAAATATTGTGACTTACCTCCTCAACATAAAAGATCATTTGTGCTCAAATTTAATCTGACAATGAAGTTATATTCATTATCCATTAATACAAGAAAACATTTTTTAAACTTTTTATGCGATAAAATAAGAAATTAGATACATTTCCGAAAGTGTTTGTTGTATACCTATACACTTTCATTGTTTTCATTGAATAACTTGTCCTAGAAACGGTTATAACACGAATAAATATATATCATTTTCGACTTAATGAACCATTCTCCTATTCTTTATTCAATGGTGTCCAAATTCATCAAATTTTCGTCAAGTATTGTAGTTGATCTCTTCATCAGTATACATTATATGTATAGTGTCTTGTGAATACATTTAAAACTTTAGCCTATGATATGATTACTTTTTATTCAGAAAGAAAATGCTTTTTAACATGATCAAGTCACCTAATAACTGATTGGTTAATTGTTTTTACTGTTCATTGTGATTTGATTGGTTAAAATGTTGAGACTTAAAGTGTGTGTGTTCAGTACATTTGTATTATTTTTTCTACTGTGTACCGTATACACTGACACATCATTCAGTCGAGAAAATATCGTGAATAGCTTGTATTATATATAATTTAAGGGTAGGATTCTCGTTTTTTAAGTTCTTACAAATCATTCTGAATACCAGGTATCATTGATTTGTTCAAAACTTATAGAGTGTATACTATTTAGTGTGAATTTTAGTTCGAGTCTGACTTACCATCATGTGATTACTGTTCAACTGTATTGTTTCAGTACTTGAAAGACTGATTTTTTTAATAACATACTTTACGATTTTTCAAATAATTTATTAAACTCTAAAAACAGAAATACTAATTACTGTTTATGAAATCAGAAGGTGTTATGGATTGAGACAGTTTTCTGTAGATTCCTCAGAGAAGCCTAAAAATCTCCTGAAAAGCTTTTATAATCAATCATGACAAGTCGAATATTTGAGAAAAATCAAGTAATCGTATGCATGAATTTCAGATTAAATGAAAGGCTTTCTAGCAAAGTGTAGAACATAACAAGGCCATTGAAAACGTTTTTTCTTAGTAAATTTTCGAGTGAAAAATAAATCTTTTGTCATGTTTGCTGCTTTTTCCTGTTTGTGAGGACCTGAGTGACCCCCAGGATGATGCCTAAGGTTATTGTTAAAGATTCTACTCATATATACATATATATATCATACAACCAGGATATATCGTAAGGCATCTTCAATCATTGAATACCTGTAAAAGGAGGGTTCGAAAATCCTTGTGGCCTTTACTTTACCACCGACAGTTTCTATACATCCATAAATGACAGCTGGTTATTTCGAATTCATTTCTTCCTGATAAAGTCGAAAATTATGTTTATCAACTCAAGTGTATCTTACGGAGCATTTAAATTGGGTGGACGAAAAGAAGAGTTTATCTCTGACATCTGAAACATGTCCAAGAGAGAATACAATTGGAAGGAGCAAGTTTACTCAGTAGTACAATTACCAAGCATTTAGTGAACACAATACGCCAAGAAGATGTTTTGTAATTATTCAAAGTAATCAACAAACAGAACGACTTAAATCTTCTTCAATACTGTGGAGCCATAACAGTCAAATGTCTTAAACTGGATGTACACGTTCAAAAAAAATTCGGTCACTAATCTTTTGCTTCCCTGGTAGCTTAATTTCTTAACCTTCCACTTGTTTGATTACATCGTTTTCTTGTTATTCAAGTTTCAGTATACACTAAACGCCAGATTTAATTTACCAAATCTTACTTACTATGCTCTACTACAATTTGTTTTGTGATGATTCCTAACCTATCTACTGGTTGGTTTACGCAATCTCTTAGTCTAAATTACCCATCTCATTTTTAGGGGAATTTTTGTACAAAAAAGGTATATATTTATGACATAATTACATGAGATTTCAATTCATTATTTCGTTGTTCATTTTTTGAGGAATTTCACTGTACTGAACTATGTGATTTATTATTGTAAGTATTCTAGATTGTAAGTAACTGATAAGAGCCATGAAAATAATAAAACAGATTCATTCTGTTTTAACATAAATTAGTTCACTTTCTACTACTTAAATCTGTTTCAAGTAGTATACAATGAGTAAAAAATAAATTTAATGTTTTAATCGTTTTCAACAGGAATGATGCCCCATTTGTCTACTTGCGGAAGTTTCAAATATATATATACTTTTGCATAAGAGTTAAAATCAATTCGTAGCTATCGTTTTAACTCATAAATCACCTAACGTTTACTCTTCAAGGTCATTGAAGAAATGATTATGTAAAAAGTGTACTCGTGAAATGTTTTATCGCTTAACTTCATAAATATGCCAAAGATATCAATCTGATTAAATAATTTGGACAGTCTAGCTTTATTGTTTTAATAATAACTGAAGATCACTTTTACTTCAAATTCAGAGAAGACCATTCCGTGTGTTCTTTTTGTAGACATTCTGCAAAGTATGGCATATAATTCATTGTATATCTGTCATTGAATTGTCGATACAAAACAAAAACATCCAATTATTCCCATCATTCCACTTTATTATTATTATTAGTCCCTTGGGTTCCTAGTGGAATATAGGGCTTCAGTAGCACGTCTCCATTTCACTCTGTTCTCTGAGATCCTTTGAACCTGGTTCCGTGACAGCCCACAACCTCTCATTTCCTCCTCGCACGACCTCCTCCATGTCACCCTCACCTTGGACGTCCAACTCGTCGCTTCCCATGGGGATCCCACTAGAGTATCTGGCCTGACGCGTGATGTCCCCAATCGGCCTTCTCAGTGCATGCCCAATCCATCTCCACTTCCTTCCACTGCATATTTGTTGCGTGATAAGTTGTTGGTTGGTTCGTTCCCAGAGCTCCTGGTTGCTTATTCTTTCTGGCAATCCATCTCATTTTCAGTAGAGAGTCAGCGTAGGTGGCAGTTGTTGATGAATGTCTGTAGTTAATTGGAAATACCTTTCGTGACGCGCCAAGTCTCTGAACCATACAGAAGCACTGACTTGACGTTGGTGTTGAAAATCAGCATCTTGTTCCACATGCTGAGTGCAGTGGAGGAGATCTCCACACTGGTTTCAGGCTAATGAACGCCTGTCTTGCCTTTCCGATCCTGATTTCGACATCCTCGTCTGTGCCAGTGCCGCCTGTAGTTGAAACAGTGCTTCCTAGATAGGTGAGGGAGGCTACTTCCTTTAAGTTTCTCCCGTTGACGGTGATTGGAGTTTATTGTTGGTGTTGTTGGTTGGGTATCTTCATCACCTGTGTCTTCTCTATATTCACTTGAAGCCCCGTCTTCGCTGCCCTGCCTCTTCTGTCAGCTTGTTAGTTTTGCCCATAGATCTTCAAGTTTGTGCCACAAGACATCAGACACAAGTCATCGGCGAAATCCAAGTCTTCTAGGTTCTTTTCCATGGTTCCACTTACTGTTCAGAAATTTTGATAACTGGTCAAGGAAACCTTCAACCATCAATATGTAAGAAGAGTTGATTTATTGTAGATAATGAAGTACCGGCTTGAGAATTACTGAAATAAAGAAAGCATAAAAACTAATATTTATTCTGAGTTAAGTATTCTTCAGCAGTGTGCACTCATGTCCTATGCGAGACTGAACACGATATCTTAAGACTTCCGTTGATCCTATCAGCACTCAACCGCTTGGTTAGAATGTGACAGGGTATAGATGGAAGTGATTGGGAGGAAAAAGGCTCATCCTAGGTTTCGTGTTTGTTTGCACTTGTCAGTAGCCTCGAGGTAACTGATGTCTTTAAGAGGTTTGGACAAAAGTTATCGACTGCTACAGTTAGAGATGTTATCACTGAGCTATTTGTTTTACGATCGACTTTTTTAAAGTTTCGACTTGATACACTAACTAGTCACTAAAGAGTAGTGAATTTCAAGTTATCTAGTCGTATCTTACTACTTCTGTCAACCAATCGCATATAGTGACTTGAACCAGTGTCACAGATATGCAGCTGATTTCACAGCTAATTTAACTGGCACTACTAATCATGAGTGGAATCAACCACTTTGAAACATTCACCTTCATGCCAGTCATTATTTAGTACTGAAGTTTTTCCTTCATTTCCTCTAAGTAACTGAATAAACCATTTCTTTTAGTTGAGTAATTTTAGGACTGTTTACTTGTAACTACATTTTGGAAGTAGTATTCATCATGGACTGACATAGTTGGGGAACCATTGAAAATCTGGGAGCACTGGACAGCTGCCTCGCCCTATTATGGGAATCCTCAGCAGTACTCACCCATGACCCTACTAGGGATGGAACTCAGGACCTTCAGGTTTCACGGCGAACGAGTTAACCATCCAGCCACTAAGTCAGTTTCCAGTGGTTCACAATTTCCAACTTCTGTCAATTCATAACATAGCGCGACTGTCAACCAAGATCTTCCGTTAGCATCCACTTTACTTCCAACTGGTTGACTTCACAGGTCACGGCTTCTCATTAGAACTTCCTAACATCCATCTGGAAGCAAGCCACTAATGAGCACCGATCCAGTGGTTGAATGGTTAACTCGTTCCCCGTGAAACCTGAAGGTCCTGAGTTCGACCCCTAGCCGAATCGTAGGTGCGTACTGCTGAGGATTCCTATACTAGTTGGACGAAACAGGTGTCCAGTGCTCCCAGATTTTCAATGGTTCCCCAAATGGTGTCAGTCCACGATGAATACTACTTCTAAATTAAAAATCTCCATTCATCTCAAGAATATAACTATATTGTTGACATAAAAATGACTGCGGTAAACGAAAATAAAGTTTAAACTCTATGTTTTTAAGTAATCAGTAGTTGACTTATACAAGCATACTTAGCTTCCCCCTAGATTAACAGAATAATGATTGTCATAAGAGTTCTTTAACTATATACTCGATCATATTTTCCTCCAATGAATAACCATCCTTTTGTCTAGTAATGTGCCTGATTAGATAAGTGTTGACCTGATAAGCTATCAGTAGGCATAACGAATTATTTATAAAGTCTATAAATCAGTGAAGAGAGATGAGTCATTATAATATCAAATTAGTAGTAGTATTATTATAAATCAGTAAAAAAAAAGGATGATTTATACAGTTTTGTTAAATTGTCATCTAATTGTGAACCAATATAGAGTTAAATGAATCGTTAATAAAAAGGCAGAATAATAAAACTTTCTATCTCACAAAAATGAAGAATAACCCCATTTCGATACCGAGTATAAATTAGTTAATCAGAGAATATTTAACAGTAGTCATTGATGCTACTACTTGTTGTTACCTTAACACAAAAGAAATGGTGCGTCCAGCTGACGAGTCTGAAATAGAAAGAAACGCGCATCCTGAATTCCGCTTCTAGCCATTATCCATCATTAATCATAGTCATTGGTAC